CCCCCCAGCTTTTACCCCCTGCTCCTGCCCTGACGATTTGAGCCACCAGACCAGGAGGGCTATAAAGGTTTCGTAAGAAAGGCCCCAGGCAGTTGAGATAGACACTCATCCCCAGAACACACCATGGAAGCTGCTGCTCAATCTTGCCCAGTGCTGCATGGCTGGTTTAACCCATCCCCTCTCCCCTCAGGCTGCCAGAGCCCTGCTCAGGGGCTACACCAAGGAGGAAGGTAACAAGGCTTTTGGTCACTGTGTGGCTATAATGCCCCTTCTGTGGGTGAGGCCAGGCTGGAGATGGGCCTGGCAGAGGAGGGTGCAGGGTGGGTGCTGCCATGGGCCTGCTGGCAAAGGGGCAGTGGGAGCTGGGGTTCGAAGGGGTGGGTGGTGCAGGGGGGAGGGGACAAATGTTCATTCTAAGATTTGGCACTTCTCTTACCCAAGCACAACTGGGGGCCCCCCAGAAACAACATTGAGACAAGCCTCCGACCCCCTCTCTAACAGGCCCACTTCAGCAATGGCAAGCTGAAGTACAGAGGGAGGAAGGGACCTCCATGGCAGCACCAGGTGGAGGACCCTGGGGTCCCTGCATCTGTCCTGCTGTAACTGCCAGCCCTTATTCCCTTGCTCCTATTCCTCAGAGTGGAGTGCTTCACAGGCTGTCACAGATCCCTGAGAGCCTGCTGGATGGGTCACGATGTAACAACAGCACTGGCTCATGATGTAAAGTCCCTGGCAGGTTTAGGGAAGGGTAGGTCTGTAAACCCAGTGAATAGGATGAGGAAGTAATGACTTGCCCACAGTGTGAGACATGATGGCTGCAGATTCAAAGTATGGGGCTGCATTGTCTGTGCCTATGGGGTGAGGGGGGTTTGGTGTGTCACACAGGCTTGGCTGGGCAAGGCTGCTGGCAGAGGTGTGGGGGGGAGGAGGGTGCACCTTGGCAGGGATGCTGCTCTCTGCTGGGGTGAGTTGGGGCTTCTCAAAGACACAAAGCTCCTTGACT